CATTCTGCATTGACAATAATATCTTGGTGTAAATTAGATACACCCATTTGGTCTAACACCCTCAAGGTGTATCTAACACATACATCTTCTTACCTTAGAGTTAAGTAAGTAAGCATTAAAGTAAAGTAAGTAAGTTAATTCACTTTAAAGTCTTCATATGTGTATATTATAAAAAGTCAAATCATGAGCTCTGGTGAGCTCTTTTAATTATCACATAAAAATATACATGCAAAAAAAAAAATCAAAGGGAGATGTGATAGCTCTTCTGTAGCAGTTTGAATGAGTACTCATAAATGACACATCTTAAGTAGAAGATGCCCATTTTGTCCTGAAGCCAATGGAAAATGGACAATTTCGTAGCTGTTCCCATTTGTAAGTGGTAGTGCAAAGAGGTAAAATGAAGACTTTTGAAAATAAATCGAATATTCACCTCTGGTGTTGTTCTAGTACAGAAAAAAAATCTTTTTATAGACAATAAGATAGTCAGAGCATTATAAACAGACAATCAGGTTATGTTTATAGCCCCATTCTGACAAACACTCAACAGTGGAAATAGAAACAATGATTCAAATTCAATGACAACAATTATTTACCAGTAGACATGGGGTAAACAACCTGAAGATTCACCCTTCTATAACCTCCCTACTATTGGCAGGCATCCATTAAACACAAACATTGTATTGGATCATAAATATTAAGTACATCATAGACATCTAAACATTCTCTGTGGAGTAAGAGAGATATCTAATAAATCTTCAAGTTTAAAAACAGTTATAACACCTGCTAAAAGATATGCTTGGAGTACTTTTTGTCAAACAATAAAAGAACAGACTTCATTGTAAATACTAAATTTTCTGGGTACTTCACCTGTTTCTTAATTCAAGTTGTCGTTTTATGTTATATTTCAATCTTTGATGTAAGTAACAATTATTATTGAAAAACAAAAACAACAAAATTAAATGCATTGTAGTCTATCTTTGTTTCATATATATGAAAAGGAAGAGGATAAAAACAGAGCACGTACACCCTGCAATTACTTCCACAAATTTACTGTACAAATTAAAAATTTTAAGAGAAATATAACATCTTCATTGCAGAAATACGTACTTGGCAAACTTTGAATTTTTGTGAAAGGGTGATGGAAGTTTGATTTTCTTAAAATAATAGTTATGCTAACTGCCTTTGTTACAAACAGATTAAACCGGTGAGCTTCATGACTACCAAACTTAAAATGACAAGAAACTGTGGATATTTTATCACTATGTGGGCTTGCTTTCACATTTAGTTTTCTTACCACAACAGATAAAATCATCAACACCAAAGAATTCCCTCAGTGAACCTCAAGCGTATGAACCTTGATGGCCTGTGTAATTTGCAATGATGACACATTTCATGCATTCAAAGGTAGACAACTCTAATTAAACCTGATGTGCCATATAATTAAAGGTGCATTCAAATTTGTGATTAATTTGATTATAACAGTGCAACCTAACTGAAAGTAGATAGGTAGAGTTTGCTGGAAAAGTACACTTTTTGTAAGGTTAGCTTCATTAGAAACACATAAAATTCCTCACTAACTATTAGATGAAGCAAAACAGACCGATACTTATTAATCTGATCCTAAATTTGCCAGATATTACAAAAATCTAAAATGTACTTTTCCAAACAAACATGGTAGTACCAACAATTCATAGAAAACCCTACTCATTCCTTGCTACAAAAGTTGTCATTTTTTTTTTTTTTTAGTTTCAAATTCAAAAAAATTTGAATTTCCAAATTTGGATATCTGAGATAGGCCTTGCAGTTGTTCTGAACATTATATACAACAACATAGTTCTACTGAAATTTGTTTAAGTTCAGTAAAAGTCTGTTCTTCTCTGGACTATGAAGATTCTCTAGTATCATAACTGTAAAACTGGTCATGCAAAGTGGTTAGTGAAAAAGCTGGATATAAAGCCAAAATATCCAGTAAAAATATGAGGATTTGGAATAGCTGATCTTTTCTTATTAGCGTTTTTTAGAAGCAATAAAATATTGTATCTATTATCAAAGGTATAAATAAACTGATTCAGACAAATGCATTCCAATAGTGGTCAAAGACATGGATAGATCAAAAAGAAAACTGGAATGAAGATTGTCAAAATCAAATGTACTTTTAGCATTTGAAAAAAAACAAATCAGTTTTGGAAAATAGGACAAGGTAAAAAATAAACATTGCCAAGATAGCCAAATTTTGAACAGTAATAAAGTAAATTTCTGTATGAATGGCAGTAAATGCCAATTTGCTGGCACAGAACACATGTCTACCAGAATTTTATATATGAATGCATTTTTATATCAATTAGTTTCAGTTAACTTAACTTTTTTATTCTGGTGTTGTCTTGCAATCTGTATGACATGAATTAAAGTGGGAAGTTTACTTTGAAGCTAAAAGCTAAAACTCTTAAATCATAATGAGGTAAAAAAAAATTCTGCTTAATTATTATTTTTTCTTTGGTGAGGGAGTGTGTTCCATCTGTCTATTTCAAACATTCTAGTTGTAGGCGTATCAAAGAAGGAAAGGTAAAAATAAAAACAATTAAATAAAAATCTGCTTTCATTTTGAAAAATATAGTATCATGAGAAGTTATGCTATCTAAACATCTGATTGTAATTTAATGTAAGACAACTCCATCTGTTAAATTGTATTAATAGTACATTGATATTCTTTACTTCTGGTACCTCCTATATTATACAATATTGTTGATATAATTCCTAAGATTGAAAAACGATTAAACTTCAAATATTCTATTAATGTTAAATGGCTATAGGACCATAGGTATCTTATATAATAGAAAAGCAAAGGATATGGGTGTTAAAGCATGTTCTTGTTTTATAAAAAAATATTTGATTAACTCAAGATGTGAATTTAACAATCTATATATAACCATAACCGCAAATATCATACAGATTTACTGCAATTTCCACAATGCCCTACATGTGCGACTACCATACATCCCATAATATTCCTGACGCAATTGGAAGCAGTACCTCATTCAGAGAGAAGCCATTTGAAATGGTACTGAATGTCCAGTGAGGTGTTGTCCATTTTGGAAAAGATACTGATAAATTCATTATTAATTTTTACTTTCACTTTTATTTTTACATCGCCAAACCAATTATTGCGACATAACGTCTTGTTAACCTTTTTGAAACCTTATATGAACCTCATTGTATGCATTAAATTGTCCTGAAGTGTAGACCAGAATAAAGCCTTTCCTTGCAGTAATCCAGGATGTTGTTGTCTTTTTAGTTTTATTTTCCCGAGGTTTTATGACAACCGCAGCATACTTCGGTGTCCATCCTGATTACTCTACCATCTTTACCGTTAGAAGGTGTTGGTTCACTTGATGTATAATCTATATTTAAATAGATTTCAGGAATGACATAAACTTCCAAAGTATGATTGATTTGAAACTAGAATTGAAACAGTTAAATCAGAGAAAGATGTTAGAAGTGACTATTAATTTGATTCCAAACTGAAATTTGATAAACACATACAGATACAAGTCAATAAGGCAACCCAACTAGTTGGAATTATTAGAGGTAGCTTTAAATATCTATACCATAAAAGCTTCTGTCTACTATATAAAGGATTAGTTTTGTCTCCATTTTTTTATATGCTAGAAGCATATGGAACCTGTATTGTGCCATATAAAATAATATATTGTTCACTAATACTGTTGACTTGCATACTATACTTCACTAAAACCTACCATCAATTTTCTTTTCTGACAATTCATTTAATTACATCCTGACTAATATGATTAATGACCATAACTATCCATTGGTCAGCTGGAAAGATTATTTTCTCCTGCTGGTAAAATAGTTAACTTACCTTGGTTGCGACAGTTTAAACACTTTAACACAGAAAAAACTAGCTTCATTTTGCAACAGTTAAATAATTTACCTCTCTTGGACATGCATGCCAGGTTTTGATTGGTTAATACTAGGGATATAATTTGCTCTATCCCATGGAAATTCTTTATAACCCTTCAAATAGACACTTTATCAATTGTGTGCCTTATTAAATACGGATGGTTGTTATGTACAAGAAGTAATAGTTTTTTTACCTTGAAATTGAAATTCAATAGACAGTAGTAACAAGCATTAAGTATAATATATCAAATAACACATAAATGAGAGGGTAATACAACAGATTGTTAACCCTAGAAAACACATTGTCAACCTTGGCTTCATATCAGTTGGCAATGTTTTCTGAGGGTAACTCTATCACCCTATCAGCTATATGTTATCTACATATTGCCTCATTTGACACAGGTTTAATAACATACTTCATTGAACGCTGGTAAAACTATATTGTTCATCTATCACCAATAAAACGACTTACCTCGTTTAACCAGAATACAGGTAATACAGAAGGTAACATCCTCACCAATAAAACGACTTACCTCGTTTAACCAGAATACAGGTAATACAGACGGTAACATCCTCACCAATAAAACAACTTACCTCGTTTAACCAGAATACAGGTAATACAGACGGTAACAACCTCACCAATAAAACGACTTACCTCGTTTAACCAGAATACAGGTAATACAGACGGTAACATCCTCACCAATAAAACGACTTACCTCGTTTAACCAGAATACAGGTAATACAGACGGTAACATCCTCACCAATAAAACGACTTACCTCGTTTAACCAGAATACAGTTAATACAGACGGTAACATCCTCACCAATAAAACGACTTACCTCGTTTAACCAGAATACAGGTAATACAGAAGGTAACATCCTCACCAATAAAACGACTTACCTCGTTTAACCAGAATACAGGTAATACAGACGGTAACATCCTCACCAATAAAACGACTTACCTCGTTTAACCAGAATACAGGTAATACAGACGGTAACATCCTCACCAATAAAACGACTTACCTCGTTTAACCAGAATACAGGTAATACAGACGGTAACATCCTCACCAATAAAACGACTTACCTCGTTTAACCAGAATACAGGTAACACAGAAGGTAACAGCTTAGAGGTTTCTCTGGAAAATACAAAACATGACAGATGGAAAAGTTTTTTTTTATGGAATTGTTTTTAAATGTAAAAGCATTTTTCAATTTTTTTCTCTTCCATTTTACAGTATGTATTATAAACTAGAATCGACAATAAGATAAGAGTGATCCTATTTTTAGGTCAAATTCTAAATTCTAGTACTAAAGTGGGGCATAATAGAATATATTTCAATATGACATCATGCTTAGCTTGTACTCTCCCATTTTCATGCTCAGAGAACCCAGAAAAATAGGTCAAAAGCATAATTTGGCAAATATCATGATTTTGACCTAAAAAACGCACTTCATAATGAGAATGTGTACTCTAGTTTCAAGTTGATGTGTCAGACCACAACTTCATGGTAACTGCCTTTAACCTTAACTTTGTGGGCTGGTTGGAAGATCAAAAACACATACATAAAAATAAACTCAAAACTGGAAACATTATTTTCCCCACACTATTTTAGGCAATGCATAAACATAAAACAGTTGCCTGTAACCTAATGGTTTTTACTGGGGATTTGTTAAAATGGCTTCAAGGTGTATCAAATTGTTAATTAAATTAAAAATAGATACTTCAACTAAAAACTTTTAACTTACGGAATTCCATCAACTGGCTGTATGTAGAGATTAATTTGTAATCTTTTGGCAACTGACAGCACCAGACCAGTGTTCTATAAAATACAATGGTTGTCTTAAATCAGGGGATATCCCCTTTTAACATAATGGCAAATAAGTTACAGATACATTTGTATTCTGTATATAATAATGGATTTTATGCAAGTATTTATTGTTAAATCTATGATATGTAACCATTGCAATGATAACATCATTATAAGAACAGAAATATAAGTTGTTTGATGTCAACCCTAAAAATAACTATGAACCACATGGATAAAACCGGAGGATTCTGAATATCTGACAAAAAGTCAAAAACATGACAAGCGAATATCCTCAGAGCTAATTTCCTAATGCTTGGAGAGTAAGACTTTGGTTGGCTTGCTTGCTTTGTTTGTATAAATGTTTGCTCAAGCATTGTAATTAAGATTGACATCTGCAAACAATATAAATAGGCGGAGTTAAACATGTATACATTATACTTAAACTTGATTGGATGTTATCCTGGAGGTTAGGAATCTAAATATGTTGTGTACAGTTTTAACTCCGCCTATTCATATTGTTTGCAGATTAATTACATTGCTTGAGCAAACATTTATACAAACAAAGCAAGCAAGCCAACCAAAGTCTCACTCTATAAGCATTAGGAAATTAGCTCTAAAGTTTTATTGAAAACTGTTTTTCTATGTTAAGGGCTGTTGATAAACAGTTTTACAATGTGTATTGCTATGTGTTTCTTTATTCTACATTGGCTAGAGGTATAGGGGGAGGGTTGAGATCTCACAAAACATGTTTAACCCCGCCGCATTTTTGCGCCTGTCCCAAGTCAGGAGCCTCTGGTCTTTGTTAGTCTTGTATGTTTTTAAATTTTAGTTCATTTATATGTTTTGGAGTTTAGTGTGACGTCCATTTTCACTGAACTAGCACCAAATTTTAGTTAGGGGCCAGCTGAGGACCACCTCTGGGTGAGGGATTTTCTCGCTGCGTTGAAGACCGCTTGGTGGCCTTTCGGCTGTTGTCTGCTCTTTGGTCGGGTTGTTGTCTCTTTGACATATTCCCCATTTCCATTCTCAATTTTAGACATACACATATCACCAATCCTTTGTTATTACACCCTGCATATAATATTTTGAATTAACAAAGAAAGGGTAACATTGAATATGTAAAAGAATAGCTTACATGTTCAAGGTCAACAAATGTCTGATGTTCCTCAGCAGAAGGACTCAGACCTCCTATGGAATTTTTTATTCCGTCTGATGCCATATAAAAATGTGGCAGAGAGACCACTGCAGGTATGTGGAAATAATCAACTGAAATAGAAACAACAGGTTAGAATAAATAACATTTTTGAAAGTTTAAATATTTCTAACAAAAGGTATTTCTAGTAAAGATGACTATCTGGCTATGAACCCTTTGGATAAATACTTTTAAATATTATTTGTGTAAATATATAAAATTTAAAAAAAAGATCAAACATAATATTTAACTGAAAGAACCTTTGTGAGCATGCTCACATACCCCAAGCCCCCACATTATCACTGGGTAAACAAAATCTCACCAAATTCCTAAATTCAAAGACTCCTACGAAAGTACACTGATAAAAATTTATTGTTGCACATCTACATATTTTGTTCTGATTAACTACAAATTTTCATGAAATTCTGTTGTGTGGGTTCAGAGGAGTTTCTCTGACAAACTGTTGCAGTAGTATATTATGGAGAAAATTCTAAATTCAAAGGGGCATAACACCTAGAAAAAACATTTACATGTAGCATAACATCTAGAAAAAATTTGTAAGGGTTCCGTGGAACCCAGTGTCTCGCCTACTTTTGCTGTTAATCACAGGCTCAACAAAAATGAGGAAAAAAATTAATAAAAATATTCCTCTCTATACTATCTTTTGATTGTAAGTAGCTTCTGTCCAAGTTTGGTAAAAATCCAGGATAGTTTATGAATCTAATAAATGTTTTAAAAACTTAAACTGCAGACTGTATGTAATGTTAACTGGAAGAAAAACTAAGTCCATTTATAAGTAAAACACGGAAAAAATGGAACAAAATTTTAACAAAATTTCCTTCTAGATACTAGCTTTAAATCATAAACAAGCTTCTGTCCAAGTTTGGTACAAATCCAGGATAGTTTAAGAAAGTTGTTAAAATTTTAAAAACTTTAACGACAGAGTGAATGTAATGTTAACTGGCAGAAAAACTAAGTCCATTTATAAGTAAAATACGGAAAAAATGGAATTTTTTTTTTACAAAATTTACTTCTGGATACTATTTTATGATCATAAACAAGGTTCTTTCCAAGTTTGGTAGAAATCCAGGATAGTTTAAGAAAGTTATTAAAATTTCAAAAACTTTAACCACAGAGTGAATATTTGTGGACGCCGCCGACGACAACGCCGACGGAATGTAGTATCGCTATGTCTCGCTTTTTCGACAAAAGTCGAAGGCTCGACAAAAACATTTAATCATAATTTCTTATCAATATGCACATCTACATAGTATGTCCAAATTATCTACAAAGTTTCATTAAATTGTGCCGTTACAAACTGTTGCAGTAGTATATTTAGGCCAAAATTCTAAGCTCAAAGGGGCATAACTCCTTGAAAAAAAAGTTGAATCATAATTTCATGTTGATATGCACATCTACATAGTATGTCCATATTATCTACAAAGTTTCATGACATACTGTTGTGTGGTTTCACAGGAGTTGCTATGGAAACGAACAGAACTGAAAGGTCCAAAACACTATACCCCACACAACTTTGTTGGGTTGGGTATAAACTTGTAATTTTTGAAACACTAAAGTCTTGTAAAAATTATAACGAAAGAAAACTAGAATCAACTATGTAACCTATATAAATATGTTAGCTCGTCAGGCAAATTAAAATAATAATAATTGAAAGAAAAGGAAAATTGCTTTTTATTCTTTACATGATTTAAATTTAAAATTAGAAACTAATTGATCTTTTTGTTAAAATATAAACAAACAATAAGAAAAGTTTTGAAAGAATCGGGATAAATATTTCACCAAAGATGTTACATATGAAGATAGATGATTTTTTCAAGTAAGCTGTGCAGTGCACGAAATACACAAATTTTCAGTTTGCCAATCATCAATTGCCACAGGTCCCAAGGTCACTGTTATAAGCAGTTATATAAAATGGTTTTGAACATGTTCATAGGTCACAGGTTCTTTTAAGTGAAACGTCAGGTTGTAAGGTCACCAGCAAAATACCCTAAGATTGCAGGTAAACATACTTAGCTGACATGTGCTTATATTCACTAAACCAGTATCCATACAGTTAGACTCTGGAGTACAGAATCCAATGTTATCTGGGTTTATTGTAGCATTAGCTAGGTACATAAATCCTGCTGTATATCTACGTAATGAGATGTCCTTGACCTTTACATTAGAAGTCCATTCACCAGACACTGATCTGAAATAGTACACAATATTATATATCATATTCTAATATGATGTTCTACTTTTGCTTTGGAAACAAAGCCGAGTTCTAATTGCAATAGATCATGGAATGCACTTGACTGACGTCACAATTGAAATTGCAACGTACATTGTATTTTGAACAATGTCAGAGATCAAAATGAACATTTGTGTAGGTGCTGCTCGCCGGAAAATTAAATAAAATCATTCTAAAATAAGTATGTATGATAGTATCTGTTCAATTTTTATCTTGAAACAGTTGATTTTCTATATTGTTTTTGCTTTATCAAATCAAAATGGCTGCCTTTCAAACGTGTATTATAGATCCGTTTCGAATTATGAAAGTTCTAAGTTTTCCTATTAGAATTGAAATAATTCTATCATACCATGCTTTATGCTCATTTTAAGCTCCAGATAAGCTGCATATTTGCATTATTACGCAATAAAAACAATTAATAAATTGCTTTGCCGAGCGCAGCTGGATACGACCGCAGAGATCCAACCTTGAACAGTTGGGGCAAAAATGGATGCAATATTCGCGCTTGATACAGGTCTGAATTTGGATTGTAACTAAATATTTGACACATAAAAGGTTTCTGACACAGAATAACTGTAGTCAAAGAACTTAGAATTATTTATATGATTTGAATTTATATTCAATTTTTTGCTTTTGTGCAATACACTTTGCTGTTGCGAATTCACCCACCCTCCCCCCACAAAAAAAAATTAAAAAATCTACCCCTCCTTTTTTTTTTGCTTTTGTGCAATACACTATTCTAGGTCTTCCTTTATAAATATGCATTTCTTTAAAGGGACACTAGCTGTCAAATTCATGTTCATCTATTTGACTCAAATTCTCACATTTGATTTATAACCATGTAAAACATTTATCCAAATTATAAAAAGTCTGAAATTTACAATTTACAGGGCACGGATTCGATAATATGTATCTTCGTTTCGTATGTATTTTAGTCTAGACGCCATCAAATTAATAACTATCGTGTTGACCTCAGACGACCTCTGATGACCATATAAGCGATATAAACATAAATATAGATATAAATAGATAACTAAATCGTGCAAATGGATTTTTCTAGGTCTGTTTAATTTCATATTATAGATTGAAAATACATTTGAATCATTGTTTTTACCTGTATACGAATGAGTTTTTGTGAATCGAATCAGTCAATCAAATGATTTACCTTCTTTCACTTTCAATGTTGACATTCTTTTCCTTTAAATAACTCAACACAGACAATGCATGCGTTATCCATCTCTAGCTAAGGGGTTAAATTGAGGTTCACATGAATACGTATGCAATGAGGTCGAATTATTCACTTGCAAGTAAATAATTCGTCATCAATGTTTCTTAGCTAAATTTGACAAAATTGAACAATTCTGGTTGCTAAAAGCGAATTATTATTTCATTATTTCACTTTCATTAATGATTGAACAAAAAAAATCATACTTTAAATTTTTTATATATCTCGTAGCTAGTGCCCCTTTAAACATAATTTAAAAGCAGTGTAAGGGAGGTAATCAAAATGCTGTATTTGGATTACCTCCCTTACACTGCTTTTAAATTGCCTTAATTGTTCATTAATCATTACTTTATACTTAATTTAAAAGCAGTGTAAGGGAGGTAATTCAAATGATGTATTTGAATTACCTCCCTTACACTGCTTTAAATTATGTTTTGTACTAAAGTATATGTCCATTAACCAGGACACCCTTGTTTTTCCCCCTTTTTTGCCCCTAGTTCCTTAAAGGTTTGAGCCATAACCCTCCAAAGCAAATCCTAACCATCCCTTTTGTGGTATGGAAACTTGTGGTATACAGTCGAACCGCGTTGTGTCAAACTCGGTTGTGTCGAAAACTCGGATGAGTCGATGTAATTTCTCAGACCCGGTAAAATTCCCGTTTGATTAATGCATAATTACCTCTGATGAGTCGAACTCGGTTGATTCGAATACTCGGTTAAGTCGAGTAAATTTTATAGTTCTGTCGATGTAAAATTCAAGCAAATTAACCCCGATGACTCAAAGTTCGAAAGTAAGAATGTAAGTGTGTTGAACATTTTCCACATCAGATAAAAACAAAACAAATTTAAATGACCCAAGCCGAGATTAAATGAATAGTTAGATTTAAAACTCATTAATTACAATAAATAAAAGGACAATTATGATAAATTCATGATAATTTAATGTAAAGCAGACGACCTCTGGCTCATCAGAGACCATTCATAACTTAATTCGTTCCGCGAGTGATTTCATAATTTATAGTGACTGACCTTTGTAAATATTTGTGTAGACTATTGATTTTATTTGTGCATGATTTGTATCTGTACTTGTGTGTTTAATTATTATGAAGAACCAAAAATGGAGATTGAATACACAATCATAAAGTGTCATATCAATAAAAGGCACACTGTTCATTGTATCTAGTTTACACAAATCATACCGTATTTCATGCATTCCAAATTTATGACGACACACTCGACCTTGGATGAGTCGAACCTTGGATGTGTCGAATACTTTGGTCCGGTCCCTTCCACTTAGACACAACGAGGTTCGACTGTAGTTATTGTCTGGAAACTAGAAAAATGCTAAATTTTGGCCCCTTTTTGACCCCTGATTCCTTAACAGTTGGTACCATAACCCCCAAAATCGATCCCAACCTTCCTTTTGTGGTATTGAACCTTATGGTAAAATTTCATAGAGATCCATTCACTTAAACTAAAGTTATTGTGCGAAAACCAATGTGTCTGTGGACTACGACGACGCCAATGTCATACCAATATACGACAAAAATCCAATTCAATAGATGATTGAAAACCCAATTATATGTCAAAACTATGTGTTCTCAACCCTTCTAGTCGCTATCGTGTGCGTTATTTACCCTAATAAATAATGTTTGTCACATAAATCTATTTAAGTAATATTAGGAAATCTACTTCTGTTCTAAAAATAGAGCGTTACATCAAATAGCTGATCTGGGTCCATGTTTGAATTGTCCTGTGCTCAAAGCTGTATCCCCAGTATACATAAGGGACTAGTTTATAAAATTTTCTTTGGCAGACCAAGAGTAGGAGAGGCAGAAAAAAAGCACCAAAGTCCTATAGCCTTTAATGTTTCGGGCCACAAAGGGACCCCAAATATTCAGCTGTCAGCAGTGACAAGACATAATGAAAGCACTGAACATATGGATATCATCAATAAAAATTTACAAATTGTCAAAGTTGACTCTGATATTGAATCTGATGATAATGAAGCAGTCTCATTCACACTTCAACCTTATAAATGATGACAAAATTTTGTTCAACACCATTTGCCATACTTTGAAAAAATGAAATGCTGACAAGCAATGTCAACGGACATTTAGACTTACAAAAGAAAAACGGACTTGAATGTAAATATTAAGTTAATGCGCCAAGATCATTCATAGAATTTTGCAGAATTTTATTTAAGTATAAAATGATCTCATATGAATGAAAAATCTCAAGCTAAATGTTATTCCATTAAGTATACGCTCTAAATTCAGATAATTTCTCATTAAAATGAAGTTTTGAGAAAGACGTTGCTTCATTTCTATACAATTGCATTATTCCCACATTTATTGATTTCAGCAAGTCAACATCACAGCTCCTTAGTTACAAAATGTCAACTGTGGATTTAAAGGAAGCTTGCAAAAAAAAATTGTCCTAATAGAATCGAAATAATTCATGCAAGCCATAGATTTGTTATCATTTTCATGTGGCCTGGAGCTTTATATTTGTTAATTTTATCCCTTGCTAACGCTCTGGATAAAATTCTAATATAACAGCCAAGGCTATGTGAAAATTACCAACAAATCTATGGCTTCCATGAATTATTTCTTAAGTAAAGTACCTAAAACAAATGTTAATTCCATGTCCTGTTTCATATAGTTATAATGAATATATGTGACGGTCAAGTTACAACCAAACAAGTACAAAGTGGGCAATCCATGTATAACTGGTAAACTATTAAGTCAGGGATTTCTTTTCCACAAATTACTTAAAACCTTTACTAAATTCTTCCATAGATACAAAGATTTAGTTTGGAAGTTTGGCTGTACCTGTACAAAACTTAATTCAAACGGAATAGCACATCCTAATTTTTTATGGAGATGTTGTTTACCAAGCCAGGAAATTTAGATACCATCTAGGTAAACTTATCAATAATTTAAATAAACTTAATCTAAAAGGTTTCCCAGTTAAATTCTACATACATACCTACATATATCTGAAGCAAATAAATATAATGTTCTGTCTTCACTGAGGTATGGAGGACCTAGAGTGCCATCTGAAATAGGATTACAGTACACCTGAAGCAAATCTATCACTAAATACGTATACAAGGCAAAGAGCTCCAAAAAGTAGCACAGAATTATCCAAGGGAAGATTTATCCAAGGAAATTACAATCTTTATATTGCAAATAATGTGGTATGTCAGGTTTTATATATTTTTGGCTTTACAGACTTTTGGTATACATCATAACTAATGGCTATTCCAAAAGTATGTTTGGTGTAGTGGATATCAGTATCATAATTTTTAATAATGCCATCCACAAAATGTTATACAAGAGGTGAAGTCATTGTAAATGTAGTAAATTTGATGTAAAATAAAAAATGAAAGTGCTATAAATAAATAATAGACAATTGAAAATGTAACTTGTTAAATGTTCTATTGGCTGCATCAGTATAAAAATAAGGAGATATAAATAGGGAAGTTATCAGTTATAATGTTTATTTGTATGATTTTTAATGCTAAAATATAATTTGCTGCAGCAAATTTTAATGCTAAACAAAAATAAAAGTAATTCTATATTGATGTACTAGTTTGCCGAGTATTTCATATACTTTCAGATAGTTAAATTGACATTTGGCTTCATGTCTACTTTTTTACCAACACATATAATAACTGAGGGATAACATTGAAATTCTCATACACTGAATTTTCTAATATGTCTAAAAATCAAAGTATTACCTGTTCCATTGACCATGTTGGCAGATTTTGTTGACCAGAAATTTAAATAACTGAAAATAAACATGACAATAATTACTAATAGGAAGACAGTGGCAAATAGATATGTAAACAATTATCTTAGAAACCTGTCTTACATGGAAAACATTTGTCTGGGTACCCTTCTTTCACCTTCTTGTCTTGTCAATTTCTTGTTTAATAAAAGCATGTCATTGAGGTACTTTACTCTTTGCCTTGTATAGGTAAGCAGTGATAAAAAAACACATGTAATTCTTGTGTGACAATACCCATCTAGCAGTTTCCATATACAGGTATTTATAGCTTCACAAGTAGGGCATTATAAATGTAAATGAGACATCAAACTAACAGGTATTTATAGCTTCACAAGTAGGGCATTATAAATGAAAATGTGACATCAAACTAATAATGCAAGTGCTCCAAAAACACTTAAAAGTGAATATATCTTAAAGTTTTTAAAATAAAAGACAAGTGTTTTTACCAAAAACTAACAATTGCCTAGACTTAACTTGTCTTTAGTAATAATGATAATTGATCTTCAATTAGTTAGTGGAGTAATGGTTGCAATTGAAATGAACAATATGACAACAGGAAAATGTTATTGTGTATGTGGAAAAGACAGAACACGGAATTTGGAAGATTTTGGATACACTAGTATATAGATTTTTAATTTTATATTGTTGCTGAAATGAGAAATTTCTCCTATATAACACATAACAACTTATTTTATCTGTAAAAACAAAATATATGTATATTTTACAAAGAAAGATTTCAATTATTTATAAAACATATCATACGTAAGTATTATCTTAGAAATTAAGTACCTCAAACATATATATATCGATAGTACTAAACATATACATGTCCTACCTAGAACCATTGTATTTATCTATCATTCCCAACTTGGTAATGTCTTTCTCTCCTGTAAATATGGTATATACTCCATCATCTGTGTTATTTTTCTGAAGATAAACATACATACATACATTATAAGCTTTCTTGTCATATAAATTGATACACAGTTAAGATTATACATCATTTTAGATGATGACTGTTTCAAGTCTCTTTCTATACTTTCGTTCAATTTAAATTAGAATATGAACTGCATCAAGCTGCTAGCCTATGCTATATAAGTAACTGATTATTTGTATTAATTAACGAGGAATAAATCATTCAATCTTTGCATTGTCTGGAGTAAATAACAATACATGGTAACAAAAACAGAAGTTAGATTGTACTTGAATTATTCATTGTATGTGTTTGTGTGTATAAGATGAAGATAATACGGGATGTGTGTGTGTTTTCGCTTGTTGCTGTTTGCTAATTTTTTTTTATCCATCTGGTTATTTGGTGTTGATGGGCAGATCTTTGTTTTAGTCATCACTTTCATGACTAAGGCCATTTTAGAGCTTGGGACTTGTGTATCTGTGGAGCCCTATACTGATCTCTAGCTGTCTTCTCTATAGTTTATGCTGTAGGATTGCTATCCCATTAGTGCATACCCCCAATTTTCCCTTTTATCACATTTTAATAATGTATAAGTGAAGAATGTATGCTTTGTAACCAAAACAATCAAAGCGCGAAAGCGCTGTAAAGGCAGTTAATTACAGGTTGTGTGTATTTTTAGTCCAGTTATATCATTATCTTGCATAGTACATTGTACTTATCAGAGGTGGCTTTCAGTATTTAAGATTTAGAGTTCTCTAATGATATTGAACTAGTTTTATGAATGTCATATTCTGAGCACTATATGAAGGCGATTGTTCTCACTTGTTTATGAACTAGTGCATTATGTCCAGTTTGTACCTTTTTTTATCTATGTTTATAGTCAAATACTGTTTAAAATAGTTTGGCATTTTCTTTTTAGTAATAAGTAAATGTTATCAACTGTATTTTATTCAACTTTGCAAATGTGGTTTGTTACTGGTAAGTACAATGTATGGATGATAGTTGTTTCATTGGCAATCATAACACATCTCCTTATTTATATAATGATCTATATTCAACGACCTCAGGTACAAAAAAAATGTATGTAACTAAACTATGATGGGAAACCTTTGACTTCTTTCTTTTATATAAACTTTTGATTTGGTACCATAGAACTATGTAGAATAAATGTACATTGCAACATGTCAACTCTTTCAATGACAATATTTTTTTTAGAAACTATAACTCCAAGCAAAATTATATTTCCAAGTATAAAGTAATTTATGAATGAAACAAGAGTGCACACGCTGAAATGTCTTTTCTAATCATTGATATTATGTTGATAGTCCTAAATATAAAGCTTTATTACAACTGTCACATGAACTTAACATTAACCAAGTAAACTAAACATTGACCAATGAACCAAGAAAATGAGGTCAAGGTCAGATGAACCATGCTAGGCAGGCATGTACAGGTAACAATTCTTCCATACAACAAGTATAGTTGACCTATTGCTTACAGTTTAAGAAAAACAGACCAAAACACAAAAACTTAAAACTGAGCAATGAACCTTGAAAATGAGGTCAAGGTAAAAAAAAACAAAAACCTGTGTGACTGACAAATAGATCATAAAATATTTCCATACACCAAATATAGTTGAATTATTGCATATAGTATTAGAAAAAAAGACCAAAACTCAAAAACTTAACTTTGACCACTGAACCATGAAAACGAGGTCAAGGTCAGATGACACCTGCCAGCTAGACATGTACACCTTACAATCATTCCATACACCAAATATAGTAGACCTATTGCATACAGTATAAGAAAAACAGACCAAAACACAAAAACTTAACTATAACCACTGAACCATGAAAATGAGGTCAAGGTCAGATGACACCTGCCAGTTGGACATGTACACCTTACAGTCCTTCCATACACAGAATATACTAGACCTATTGCTTATAGTATCCGAGATATGGACTTGACCACCAATACTTATCCTTGTTCACTGATCCATGAAATGAGGTCGAGGTCAAGTGAAAACTGTCTGACGGGCATGAGGACCTTGCAAGGTACGCACATACCAAATATAGTTATCCTATTACTTATAATAAGAGAGAATTTAACATTACAAAAAATCTTAACTTTTTTTCAAGTAGTCACTGAACCATGAAAATGAGGTCAAGGACATTGGACATGTGACTGACGGAAACTTCGTAACATGAGGCATCCTTATACAAAGTATGAAGCATCCAGATCTTCCACCTTCTAAAATATAAAGCTTTTAAGAAGTTAGCTAACGCCGCCGCCAGATCACTATCCCTATGTTGAGCTTTCTGCGACAAAAGTCGCAGGCTCGACAAAAAGGAGTTCTTAATTAAGAAATAAACTGATTCGCTGAGCGCAGCTGGATACACCCGAAGAGGTCCAACCCTGAACAGTTGGGGCAAAAATGGACACAATATTCAAGCTTGATACCGGTCTGAATTTGGATTGTAATTAAATATTTGACATATTATAGTTTCTGAATAAATGTAGTCAAAGAACTTGAAATCGGTTATATGAATTTAATTTATATTCAATTAAAGATTTCTTGCTGTTGTGCAATACACTGTGCTGTTGCGCAATACTTAATAAATCTGTTGCCAGACTATAAACAAATAAAGTTCAATTTCTTCTCAATGTCATATTTGAAATTTATGATAATCAATAGGGAGATTACATCAATAGCTATAAATAATTCACCAAAGTTTCAGGCGCAACTGCTTAAAGCATTTTTGAGTTGTCCAAAAACTGGAAAATCCCCCCTTTTTTAATGAATAAAACCCCATAACTCAGAAATGTAAAATCTAAAATTTATAAAATTCTAAAAGGAGCTTACGGATTGATAATTTAGTCTTAGATGCAAGATTTTTTATCAGTTGTTAGTGGCTTTGAACTAGCTGTCAGAAAATGCGAGTACTCTCAGATCTGTACTTAGTGTCTTTTTGTTGTTTGGATGTACAACTACCCGACAACGTCCACTTGTATTTGTATTTATCCATCTGATGAGTTAAGCCTCTTTCAACTGATTTTTATAGTTCGTTCTTATATTGTACTGTTACACCACTGTCCCAGGTTAGGAGGTGGGTTGGGATTCCGCTAACATGTTTAACCCCGCCACATTCTGTATGTACATGTATGTGCCTGTCCCAAGTCAGGAGCCTGTAATTCAGTGGTTGTCGTTTGTTTATGTGTTGCATATTTGTTATTCATTCATTTTTTGTACATAAATTAGGCCTTTAGTTTTCTTTTTTGAATTGTTTTACATTGTCATTTCGGGGCCTTTTATAGCTCACTGTGCAGTATGTGCTTTGCTCATTGTTGAAGACCATACTGTGACCTATAGCTGTTAATTTCTGTGTCATTTGGTCTCTTGTGGAGAGTTGTCTCATTGGCAATCATACCACATCTTCTTTTTTATATTTACATCAACAGATATAAACAATTCACCCAAGTCAAGGTGAGACAACAAAACTTAGTTGTAAGATCTCTGAAATTTTTTACAAGGTACAAGTTTTCTCATTGTTGGAGATTGTACGGTCATGACGGTGACAGTAACACCTGTAACTGCTTAACCCATTTCTTATGCACTTTGGTTCAATAAACTCACTGAATATGATACCACATCTCCTTATTTTCATATGCATTACAATTTACATGTGCATGTAATTGTAAATATATATATATATATCAGAACAAACTTCATTGCATCACTTTTATTTATGCATCCTTTGGCCATGTTGGCACAATACAAGTTCTAAAATTACACAACATAAAACAACTAAATGTTATTTCAGATGAAAGTTTTATTTCAGTTCCATTCATAGGATTTATTAGAATTTTGTATGTTTTGCCAAGTCCAATAATTAGCTCTATGTGCACGTGTTAATTGGAGACTTTTCTATCCCGTATAAGAGTTTTGGAACTTACAATGTATTCTGTTTCTTTTTTTGAAAAAAGTGAGCAAACAAATCTTGCACATTGAAACCTTTGTCTGCCATCACACTGTCACCTGGATCACATAATTGAACTATTCTACATCTTTCAACTATTTCACAGTCACTGGTACAACCAACATATGCATTAGAGACATAGTTGACTAAACCACCAGGTGTCGAACATACAAGTATTTTTAGTGTTTCTGTTTTTATATGATGAAAAGGTTGCCTAAGCTCTAGGAGCTTTAGGTTTTATCACGGGATATTCTGTGCTGTCAATAATAATCCAAGTTGTAGGAAACTTTAATTTGAAGTTGGATGGCGAAAAATACCTGACTAAACCACTAAATGGCCAAGTGTTAGCCTCACGCCACTGTTTAGACATAAAAACAATCCATGTTTACACAACATTCTTAACACTAGTTTCAATCTAGAATCTAGACAGTTCAAAGTTGGTTGTATAATGCCTCAATTTCATCAAAGTCATAAAAAAACTGATTTTCAAATGACACCCTATCAATTTGAAAATATATGTATCTCAAACAATGTGCTGCTGGACCAAGTGACGAAGTGTGGTCAAAACAAATAAAAATTTAGTATACAACTCTAAACCGGTATAAAAATGCATGGCTGTGTCAAGTGTCTTCATTTCAAAATTCTCTGCTGAAAATATAGGCATTGATGGTGTTTGCCTAATTCCATCTGTGAAGCTCAACATTAGCTCGGCAGTTGGTGGTGGACAGTCATAAATCCTGTCTGCAGTATGAATGACTTCTTCAGGAAAACCAACTTTAAAATCAAAACTTTCCTCTAGATTTCTACTACAATATTCATCAAGTTTAGTTCTTTTGTTTTCACAGGTAACTGCCCTGATTTTTCTTTTTGCGGAAGATTCAGTCTCTTGCTTGGTCCAGGAAAATAGGCTGGGAATGGCAGTAGAATTAAGTCTGTATGGTGGGTTTGCGCCCTGAAAAAAGGTTATAAAACATTAGATTTTTATAATTAAATGAACTTCCATTAGCAATGCATACTTTGTACTACCTGGCAAAATATTAACTAGATTTATTCATTACAATCTGGATAAATCTATGTTAGCCTGATTCAATGTACATCAAAATGTATGTTATGTAAATCCAAAGGACAAACAATGAGAGACTTATGCAACAAAGTACATTGTTTGTACTTAAATAACTATAATATAGATGAGAGCATGTCATTGTTTTGTTCCTGTTAACATTGTCATTGATATTTTTCAAGAAAGTCTATGAGGCATAGCTTATGCATTCCTGTCATTACTACATTAGCATAATTACTGCTAAAATAATTCTCAGTATGATATACCTCTTGTAAAAAATCATTATAATTGTAGCAAGCACCAAAAAATCTCAAACAGATCACATTGAATCGTAATCCAAAAAATTATGACGTCTTGAATTAACCACCCCCTTTTATTCTAAAACGATAATTGCGGTTGTAAACAATCTTTGGTTTATTCGCATGGCGATTACATATATAACTATATATTTTAAAAAGAAAATATAGTTTTACCATGAATAGTTTCCTGCACGTAGTCTTTTTCAGTAAAATGTGCCTTGCAAACAACAGCTGATTGAGATGGACTCCACGATTTCATCGTGTTCTCGTCCAATCTGCGTATGGGCCATGGCGTTGATCCAACTTTTCCTTCTTTTTAAGTCATTTGGAAATGCATGTCCTCCTCTTAAATGACATCCAGGTACACAACAACAAGAAATTGGCATCGTTAATTAAAAATGCAACTGTATAGTTGCACAGTGCAGAAACCGGAAGTTTAAAAACATGATCGGCTACCACGGCGCCACCTATTCAGGAACGATAATTTGCTACTTTATAAACTGCGAAATAACAATAACGCTAGACGGGTTCACGTGCATAAACAGAAATGCGCTTTAAATTGTATAATATAATTCATGTTCAGTCGACCTTTAATTATTATATCAACGAATGAAATGATTTATAAACATCTAGATTGCAGATAACACTCGAAATTAACCCGACCTCTTTCCACACGGAATTCAAATAATTCTAGTTTGTCAATCGGTTGACTGCTTATAATGCAAAATACAAATATATCAAAAGTTTTTAAAACTAACAAAACACAATGATCGTTTCTCTATTTCCCAATGTAAATGAAATGAAACAAAAAACATTTTATATCACAATAAGAAGAGGAGAGAATCAACATTTTCCGGATCTACTTGGAGCCAAATGACCCCCCACGTAGATAAGTTGGATATCGCGGAAAGAAAGATTAACACGACAACTAGAAAGGCATTAAAGCACTGCCTTTAAAAATCAGCCATTCAAGAGGGACACTTCATAAATAACCATCAGTTATATGACCTCAGCTCTGAAAATTTTTACAGGTTCAAAAGTATCAACAGTAATCATCATTATTTATGTAAAATAAGACTCTTTCACTTAGGTCTGCACAATACTGTTCAAATGAACCATGAACCAAAATATATATTTATTAAGTTGGGTAAAGTAAGAATTTCTTTTTCAGTGCTGAATTACAAGTTTAAAAAAGTAAACAGCTTTGTCAAACAGCAAGCACCTTTTCCGCTTTTTGCATGTATACCAAATTTTTCTCCTTGAGGAGTTATAATAATGTGATACTAACATTCATAAAGTAACCAACAAAATCTGTGTAGAACCATTTTGGAGCTATAATGTTTCCTGCTTCTAACATTTTATCTTTATATCCCCACACTAGGTCTCGTACACTCTTCTCAAAGAATGGACCTTCACCTCCGAACTTTAACACCAACTCCAATACCTTATTTATGTCTAAATATTCATATTTTATAGCTGCTAATACAGTCTGAAACAGAAACAAACTACACTGAAATGATCTGGTCAAAGGGAGATAATCTATCAGACAATCTGGATAAAGGGAGATAATCTGTCAGACACAATTTCTTATATTCATCAGGCCAAAGACCACAATTAATGATCCCGCTTTTCGTTGTCCACGAATATAGTTCCTTTTAATTAGAGTGTATTTTTTCTTAATTTTTTTTCTTTCCCTTCCTCACTCATTTCTTAGATTTTTTTGGATGGAAATGAAAGAAGAGAGGTGAAATAAACTTTTGGATGTTGTATTTTAACTGATTTTGATATGGAAAGAGTGATTAGGCCAGGTGCAAAAAGGTGATATTTACAGTTTTCGGAACATCTCTTGACTTGTCCATAGGGGTATGGATGTGTATAGGCTAAATTTGTAAGATGCTGGGGAGCTATATTTCTGAATGTTTGATATATGTTTGGACTAGTACTGTACTTTACACACACAAAATATTGGACAAAAAAAATCGGTGCAATTTTTTTAATGAAACAAAACGTTATAAAGAACTAATAGAGAATTTAATTGTGGTCTGTGGCCATCATTTGATGCATGTACATGTATATATATCTATATAAGGACATGAGAATTACCCAGTATAAAGGATTAGCTCTGACAAATATGTATCTACATAAGAACATGAGAATTACCCAGTATAAAGGATAAGCCATGACAAATATGTATCTATATAAGGACATGAGAATTACCCAGTTTAAAGGATTAGCTGTGACAAATATGTATCTATATCAGGACATGAGAATTACCCAGTATAAAGGATTAGCTGTGACTAATATGTATCTACATAAGAACATGAGAATTACCCAGTATAAAGGATTAGCTGTGACAAATATATATCTACATAAGAACATGAGAATTACCCAGTATAAAGGATTAGCCATGACAAATATGTATCTATATAAGGACATGAGAATTACCCAGGATAAAGGATTAGCCATGACAAATATGTATCTATTAAAGGACATGAAAATAACTCAGTATAAAGGATTAGCCATGACAAATATGTATCTATTCAAGGACATGAAAATTACTCAGTATAAAGGATAAGCCATGACAAATATGTATCTACATAAGAACATGAGAATTACCCAGTATAAAGGATTAGCCATGTCAAATATGTATCTACATAAGAACATGAGAATTACCCGGTATAAAGGATTAGCCATGTCAAATATGTATCTATATAAGGACATGAGAATTACCCAGTATTAAGGATTAGCTTTGACAAACATTTATCTATATAAGAACATGAGAATTACCCAGTATAAAGGATTAGCTGTGACAAATATATAAGGACATAAGAACATGAGAATTGCCCAGTATAAAGGATTAGCTGTGACAAATATATAAGGACATAAGAACATGAGAATTACCCAGTATAAAGGATTAGTCATGACAAATATGTATCTATATAAGGACATGAGAATTACCCAGGATAAAGGATTAGCCATGACAAATATGTATCTATTTAAGGACATGAAAATTACTCAGTATAAAGGATTAGCCATGACAAATATGTATCTATATAAGAACATCAGAATTACCCAGTATAAAGGATTAGCCATGAGAAATATGTATCTATATAAGGACATGAGAATTACCCAGTATTAAGGATTAGCTTTGACAAACATGTATCTATATAAGAACATGAGAATTACCCAGTATAAAGGATTAGCTGTGACAAATATATAAGGACATAAGAACATGAGAATTACCCAGTATAAAGGATTAGCTGTGACAAATATATAAGGACATAAGAACATGAGAATTACCCAGTATAAAGGATTAGCCATGACAAATATGTATCTATATAAGGACATGAGAATTACCCAGGATAAAGGCCATGACAAATATGTATCTATTTAAGGACATGAAAATTACTCAGTATATAGGATTAGCCATGACAAATATATATCTATATAAGAACATGAGAATTACCCAGTATAAAGGATCAGCCATGTCAAATATGTATCTACATAAGAACATGAGAATTACCCGGTATAAAGGATTAGCCATGTCAAATATGTATCTATATAAGGACATGAGAATTACCCAGTATTAAGGATTAGCTTTGACAAACATGTATCTATATAAGAACATGAGAATTACCCAGTATAAAGGATTAGCTGTGACAAATATATAAGGACATAAGAACATGAGAATTACCCAGTATAAAGGATTAGCTGTGACAAATATATAAGGACATAAGAACATGAGAATTACCCAGTATAAAGGATTAGCTGTGACAAATATATAAGGACATAAGAACATGAGAATTACCCAGTATAAAGGATTAGCCATGACAAATATGTATCTATATAAGGACATGAGAATTACCCAGGATAAAGGATTAGCCATGACAAATATGTATCTATTTAAGGACATGAAAATTACTCAGTATAAAGGATTAGCCATGACAAATATGTATCTATATAAGAACATGAGAATTACCCAGTATAAAGGATTAGCCATGACAAATATGTATCTATATAAGGACATGAGAATTACCCAGTATTAAGGATTAGCTTTGACAAACATGTATCTATATAAGAACATGAGAATTACCCAGTATAAAGGATTAGCTGTGACAAATATATAAGGACATAAGAACATGAGAATTACCCAGTATAAAGGATTAGCCATGACAAATATGTATCTATATAAGGACATGAGAATTACCCAGGATAAAGGATTAGCCATGACAAATATGTATCTATTTAAGGACATGAAAATTACTCAGTATAAAGGATTAGCCATGACAAATATGTATCTATTTAAGGACATGAGAATTACCCAGGATAAAGGATTAGCCATGACAAATATGTATCTATATAAGGACATGAGAATTACCCGGTATAAATGATTAGCCATGTCAAATATGTATCTACATAAGAACATGAGAATTACCCAGTATTAAGGATTAGCCATGACAAATATGTATCTATTTAAGGACATGAAAATTACCCAGGATAAAGGATTAGCCATGACAAATATGTATCTATTTAAGGACATGAAAATTACCCAGTATAAAGGATAAGCCATGACAAATATGTATCTATATAAGGGCATGAGAATTACCCAGTTTAAAGGATTAGCTGTGACAAATATGTATCTATATAAGGACATGAGAATTACCCAGTATAAAGGATTAGCTGTGACAAATATGTATCTACATAAGAACATGAGAATTACCCAGTATAAAGGATTAGCCATGACAAATATGTATCTTTATAAGGACATGAGAGTTACCCAGTATAAAGGATAAGCCATGACAAATATGTATCTACATAAGAAGACGAGAATTACCCAGTATAAAGGTTTAGCTGTGACAAATATGTTTCTACATAAGAACATGAGAATTACCCAGTATAAACAGGTCAGGAACACTACCTTATATGGATATGCATAAATTAGCATACTTTTGTCCTAGCACATGTAATTGTTTATTTACATATGACACATTTTTTTTTTACCTGGGTTTTTGACCAATCCATTAAATGAGTAACAATGCATGATGGACTACAACGTATTTATGATCAACCGAGAACAAGTGTTGTTTACTTAAATAAACACATTTTTTCATGCATCACAGGATTTACAATTTCGCTTAGTTTTTCATTTTTTGTATCCACATTTATAATTTGTGATATAAAGTAATAGTTCCATGCTCAGATTAACGAAGACTTGTTTCTATGCGAAGAAACGAGTGTTTGAATTACCCGAAATATAGCCATTAATGTGATTGATGATTACACTAAGATTTCATGTATTTGTATTCATTAATTTGTCTTTAAGAAACAAACATGTGTAATCTTCAATCGGGGCCATTTATAGCCCGACTATACGGTATGGGTTTTTCTCATTGTTGAAGGCCTTACAGTTGCCTGTAATTGCTTACATCCAATTCATTTGAACTTTGGTGGATAGATCGTACCTCACCTTCTTATTTCTATATACATAGCATGTTAAAGAAAACCTAAATGGGCAACATGGCACCCACTTTGATCCGGAGGATTTAAATGATTGGAGATATTGCACGTATAAAGTCAATGGGACAGCAACCGAATGATAAAAATACCTCTTATGTATATTTTGGGATAAAACTAGCAACAGACGGACTTCATCGATGAACAAAAGTATACAAAACATTATGTTAAGCTATTTACCGTCCCCACTTTTTATACCACAATTTTTTGAGAATACTGAATATGATATTCCTGCTTTTAGTTCAGGTCCTGAAGATTATTTTTACCAATTTTTATAAAAAGTCACTGATGAAATTTTTTAAAATTAGATAAATATGCAGCCAAATAACCCGTTTTTTTTTCTAGAATCATGAAACTTTGATAAAAGTTAATTATTTCCAAACAATTGTTATACCAATTTAGAACATACTTATGTACTTATGTAAAGAAGATTTCAATGTTTTTACAAAAATCCGCTTGTGTTTATCTTTTGTAACAAAAAAGTTAGGTATGTCTATCCAAAGGATAGAAATGTCCACAAAACCGAAATTTTGCGTAAATGTCTAAAACTTTGACCCCATTTATATCTTAAAGTAGCATGTAGGTATAATTTTTATTACATATTTGAATTGTCTAGGTGACAAAAAGCTTGTATGCAAATTTTCGTAAAAAAAATCATTGTGGGATCAAAACTGTATCGTATGCCCTTATACAGGATACAAAAAATCCAATAGCATATATATATAGATAGACGTGTCACCCATTCCTTCAAACCGTTTTGACAAGTTTAAAAGAGCTCAAATGATTTTTATACTGGACAGTGATCACTTCACATTGGAAATTTCACTGTTTCACGTGAAATTAATCCACAGGTACAATGCATAACAATGGACAAAACCTGTTCAACTACTTTTACAAGGCGAAAAAGAAAGTCGAATCGTGAAGCCAGTAAACAATATGAATCTGAGCATGCAAATTGAAGATTATGTTATATATTTTACATTAAACCTAGTCTCAGACACTATATTAGTTGACAGTTTTCACACTAATTCCACATGTTTTTAAGTGGTAGTAAACTCGTTGTAGCCCACAATGCATTGTAGTTCATTGAGTCGATTGGTCAAATTTTCAAGGCCATGTTTACCTTCTATTTGGGAAATTACTATGCAAATATATTCTGACGTCAGGAAATCTAGAGTTCCCGACCTGATAAAGGATTAGCCATGACAAATATGTATCTATATAAGGACATGAGAATTACCCAGTATAAAGGATTATATAATTAGCCATGACAAACATGTATCTATATAAGGACATGAGAATTACCCAGTTTAAAGGATTAGCCCTCACAAATATGTATCTACATAAGAACATGAGAATTACCCAGTATAAAGGATTAGCCATGACAAATATGTATCTATATAAGGACATGACAGTTACCCAGTATAAAGGATTAGCTGTGACAAATATATCAGTATCATCCCCCACTGACTTTGATCTGTCAAATATAAAGATTCTTTTCTGTCTGTACGACACTGTACCATTAGGATGGAAGGTAATGTTGAACTTCTCTCTCTTTTCTCTACAAAATAAGCAAGAAATGATACTATAAATAATCTTTAATGTAACTTTAAATCTCTATATTCTCCTCAGAAGATAAAACATTTTATGTGACTATGTTAAATCAAAACTTAAACTTGACATAGGACAAATGAGTTGACAGACAGACAGAGTGACAGACAGACGGACTATCTATTTAGGAGGGGCATATAAATTAACATAAAACTTTCTAGTTTAGTACATCTTCAAATCTAAATCAAATGAATTTGATATAAATCAATTTCAAAAACTACTGTATAAATATGTTCTGCTGTGAGAAATGAAAAGATCTAATCTGTGGAATAAAAAAATAATTAGATTTTTGTTATAAAGTAATACTGTTCATTTAATCGATAATTTTTCATTTTCTCTAAGTCTGTATTTCATAAATAGTATCAATTTTAATGTGTCATTGTGCATGTTGTGCAGGAAGAATTCCTGAATTGCAGGAAATAATAAATTGTTCATGTTAAATTGCAGAAAAAGTAACTTTAAACTTTGCTTTATAAATTTTTCTTCTGAAAAGGAAATCCAATTTTTATATCTTTTTTTAAAACACTTGGAAGTCATACTCTCGTCCTGTCAATCTTCAGCCTCATTCCTTTTGGTTGGATCGATATCTTATTAATAAACTATGATTAAATTTGTGACTTCTGAAATGATATCATTTTACTTAACAAAAAATCCCTTGATGCTTCATTAAAATAATATTTACATGTAGGTATATGGTCCTTTCTGTGTAACATAAGGTTTCCCACCATTTAATATTTCATAAACATTGGTGACATTGAACATGTAGAACTGCATGTAAATAGGAATTGGCATTTCCTTCCATAAGTCATACAACACTCCTCCCTTCTTGATAATCACAGTCTGAAAATATATTGATTACTTGTATTATTTAATATCTAGTCATTTTTAATTTTGAAAAAGTTATTTGTGTGTCTGGCATCTAGCCCATGCATCTTCTTAATAAAACACAAAATACTTAAAAAATAAAAGAAGACATTTTAAATTCTTTTAATTTGTAATTGAAAATAAGGAATCTACAATGTAAAAATAAGGAGATGTGGTGTGTTTGCCAATGAGACAATACATATACATGCTATATGACTATGGTAAAATACAGAATATTCTTGTTATCACATCCAATTGAAATTAAGTTCAGTATATGTCTTAATGCAATTTATATCTGGCAAAAGTAAGTCTCTCATTTGTACAACAGGTAAACTTGTAAATAAGCCTTATATATGTAAACCTAACCATGCTGGGGCAGTAATATTACAGCCTCTACCCAAAATACAGTTTTTTTTGCCCCAATGGCGCTCCATACTTTTCGAGGTCAACTGTATGATATATATTTCAAAATAGATCCATGTTCCCTCAACCTAAGGCTTTTTGTTGTCATGTTTCTCATGTGGTGCAGTTTGAGCCCAAATATGAACTATGTAAATTGAAATTGGATAAAATTGGTTTTTCTGGATGAGTGGTTTTAAACTCTAAACATATTTTTGGTATCACTTCTATCATAAACACTAATCCAGAATACATCTTTGCTGCCTTTAAGGCATGTTTATCTTGAAACAGAAAGGGTTTCATTTGTTCAAAACATAAATAATCTTACCTTTTCTACCTGTTTCTTGATGAAATAACTGACAACAGGTATAGAGATTCCTCCTATAACACAGAGTAACCATCCAGCTGTACAACATTTACATAGCTTCTTCTTCTCCATCATACCTGTAATACAGTAAGACTATGTGAATGGATTAATAACTAGAGGCTCATAGGAGCATGAATTGCTTATATTTCACCCTTTAATTACAAAAGAGAAGATAACTTTTCATCTATGATGAGTTTAGCTTCAGATAGCTTTGTTTTTCCATTGGGCAAAATTAATTATATATGATATAGATAACCTTGTAAAACACTATACCAGCTTGGTTCACATGAGCCAAACATAGTTCTAGTGTAGAAAATGTAAACCTGATATCCTATTGAGTTTAAATGTGCCACCATTACCACCATGTTTGCTGCCAGGTCAAATTTAAATAACAATTAGTTGTTAAAGGAGTTTGTCACTAAAATAACAACAACTTGTAGATGGTCTAAATCATCAATATCTAAAGTTAAAAACAGTAATTATTTTTCAAATTCAAATAATACTATTATATAACTAAGAAATGAAAAAAAAAAATTGCAAGATCAAGATTTACCTTCAATACAAATAAAAATAAAATTTGTCCTCTTTTTATCCTTCATATCTTTAAATTAGTTTAAGTAGAACTTCCAGTAAATCATGTTTATAAACAGTATAAAACAAAACAAAAATTACTGGGGACTGATTGCATGCTAGCTAAATCTTTATTTTATACTTTACACGTATATACTGAATTAGGATGAAAGTAAAAAAAAATTATAAAAAAAACATAATTTACCTGTTTATTCAAAACAAACCTACAATTAATCCATATGAACTTTTAACCTCCAGTGACAAAAGTAAAGTATTGAACACATTTCTCATCTTAAAAACATAAAGATGAAGAACAACTACTGCATCATTGTTTTGTTATGTTACTTTCAATATATAGTAAATTTTGTACTGTTATCCGGTGAACATTTCATATTTTGTACCTACTTTGTCAACCTTTTAAGTCTGTGAGTTTAAATGTAACAGGTCAAGTGAAATTTGTTTAAGTTGATAATTAATTAAGTTATCTGGTGTCTGACATAATACAAACAGTAAATTTTAATGGCTGATTAAAAATAATTTATCTATGGCTGTGCAGCTGATATACTGTATAAATAAACAACAATGATATTCAAAATATGAGAAAAAGTGTATGGTAAAAAATATAGTAGCTCTAAAAGATCAAGCGTATTTCTATTAGAATAATGCAAAATGAAAAGAAACTAGAGGCTCTAAAGAGCCAGTGTTGATCACCTGTATCTTCAACAATGGGCACTTTTGGTAAGAATCATCATTAAAGGGGAATAACTCTATTTAGACTTAACTGACAATTTCAGACATGTTGAAGTATATGTAGATCTTATCCTGCTGATCATTTTTCCTAATAAAGTTCCTACTTATCTATTATAGTTTTCAAGATCATAGGCAAAAAATGCAAAATAGTGGTAAAAATATCATCAAATGGCAATAACTCCAATAAAGAGTCCACTGAAGATTTCTGCCATTTGACGTTATGTAGATCTTGACTTGCTGATTAATTTTGCTGTTTAAAGTGGCTATCTATTATAGCTTTCAAGAAAATAGGCAAAAATACAAAAATAGGGGAAAAAGGTCATTAAAGGGCAATAACTTCAATAAGGAGTCGACTAACAATTTCAGCCATTGTGGCTTATTTGAAGATCTTATCTTGCTGATTAATTTGGCTATATAAAGTTTGTATTTATCTAATAGTTTAAATAAAAAAGGCAAAAATGCAAAAATTAGGAAAAAATCGTCATTAAAGGGCAATAACTTTATTACATTGTTGACTGACAATTTCAATCATGTTGACTTATTTGTAGATCTAGTCTTGGTGATCATTTTTGCCTATTTTATATTATGATGTATTTGTGGTGATACTGCTTAGTGATATACATCACATCTGCTAAACAATATGCTATCTTAAATCCTGACCATGATATACAGGTGAGATGATCTGTATTTTGCCTGTTTTCTTTCTTTATGTATTCTGCAGTGACAATACATTGCAATACCCTATCTTTATAACATTAAACATGTGAAAGTACCTCAAAACTTATGTCAATAAACTGAACAATAAAAAAGAATAACGAAACTGAAGTTAAACCAATATTGAGGACATCAAACCAAGATATATATATATATACCTTCAGGGAAATTTAAATGTCAACATATAATGGATACCTTTAGCAATGTTTAGGGAAATCCCAGTCAATTTATACTGGATACCTTTAAGGAAATCCCAATGATGGAAACTCTTCAAACAGGCCATCTTTAACAAGATTTTTGTCATGGTTTCTGTCGATGCACTATTCTATTGTTATAGATGATACCCTGTGCATGTTGACGTTTGCAGGTCTTTCTGCTATCTTTATTTTTGTTGCTGGGTTATTATTTATTGTCTCATTGGCTTATACCTGAATGATCAGAAAATGTTTTGTTTTATGTGTAACATCACCAGTGTAAGTAGGCTAACTTAGGGGGCTGACAATACATTACGGGTACCAATATGGAGCATGATTTGCTTAGCCTTCATGTCTTTTTCATTATTTATATACTCAAAATCGGCGTCAAAACTTTATTAGAGACTTCTCATCAGACACAGTCTTTTTCATTAAATCATTTATTTCGTCAAAACTCTAATTTTATACTTAGTCTGAGTTGTCATATAGACAGTCAGAGTTGACTTTAAAGATGGTCCGAGTTGACTTTATAGATGGTCCAAATTGACTTATTGACGGTCTGAGTTGTCTCTGGGCCGACTTGTCTCGCACCCATGCAGAGATGCAGATAACATTTTTCCGTCAGACATTAGGGCCTGCAAGGTAGACAGTCTTTACTTTGCCTATCAGGTTAAAAAAATTGTCCTTTTCAACCTTTTAAATGTTTTCCAAGAAAAGTGTTCCTGAGAACCGATTATTATATGAATCACCATGCTCAAAGCCCTTTGCCTGATCGAGTTCATTTAACCAAAGGTAGTCATATAAGGGGCGATTATTTCTAATCATGGCATGGCTGTTTCTAAATTTTTAAATTCAACTGTGTTCGTACCTTTTCATTTAAAGTCAAAAGAGTTTTGTATGCCTGTGTTTCTGTTTGTTTTTCCTTGGCTTGATGCACAATACAGGAATCCACATGCCCCTTAGTCTTTTCATGGTCAGTTACTGCACTAAATTTAAAATTTGAGCATCCATTTATGAACTGGAACTTCTGTTTAAGGTTGATCTGTAATTGTGTATGCTTGGAATGTTCTATGCATATAGCACATTTCATAACATTCTCAGTTTCAGCATAGGTTAACCAAGGACGACCCTCCTTCCATTTTGGGTTGTATGACCGCTCTCGTTGTTTTTCGTTCTCATAAGCTACCCACTTACACTTTGGTGTTTTGGCTAGCATTATTATTTTTATCAATTAAATCAAGATTAGATCGTTTTTGACCGGGTTTAGACCACTCGATAAAGTGATTTAATTTTATTGTAGCTTTAAATATAGAATACTAATCAATGCTAATGATCCAGGGACTAATTATGTTGCTTAAATTATCAGAACCAACATCTGTGTTGATAGGATGACCGGGTCATGTCAGGTGATGACCTTTTACTAAATCTAGGATAATGACATAAAATCACTTGTTTAAGTATCATACCTCAATTTCCTTCCAAAAAATCACTTCTTTAAGTACCATTATTTTAATAACCCCCACTAATTTCAACACCCCCGAACAGTGAAATTTTGATCGCGAACAGTAGAATTTTATTACATAATGATCTATAAGATGAAACCTTGAATTTTACAGGAAAAATACTCCCACTGCTGGGAAAAATCTGTTAAGAAAGTATCAGTTCATTATGTAAAGCCATTTTTATAGCATTTTTTCAACTAAAATAGAATTTGCAGCTAAATGATTGCATCAAAGGCATAAACCTTGCTGCTTAAAAGAAGCAAAAAGTTCATTTTTTTCAATTTTACTAATGAAAAGATATTATCTAAACCTATGTGTTAAAAATTTTGGTAAACTTACAAAATCACAATTTGTGACAAAACTTCGAATTTGCTACTTAAATAATTGATTTAAAAATCACTTATTTCAATAAGTCCCCTGACTGATGAACTGGTTCCCCAGATTAAGCGATCGAGATGGGAACAGAAATGTTTACCGGACAATATCTGAAATTTAAAACGATTTGATAAGATGATAAAGGATTTTCTTGATTAAAGTTATTCCGGACTGACATATATATAACTCATACCCAACTATATCAGTCCTATTCAGGACCGATAACTCTGTTGATAAATATTGTCGGGTATACAATGTTGTTGAAATCAGAGCAATTGTCTATATGTCTCTGTTGAAATGTATACAATAACAAATTTTTTTACACAAGTTTAACTTTATATCGATTTATTGAATGCCTGGATTTTGCTTAAAATATTGAATTAAAAAAATAGATAATAAAATCATATTCAACATGTTCAATGAAATCTCGTTTAATTTTTTACGAAATAATACAAAATCCATTTAAATTAAAATTTGAATCAAAATATTTCTTTAAAATAATTATAGAAACATAAATATTAGTTTGATTATCTTTTAAAGCAAAAATTATTTTTTTAAAGATTTTTTTTTATAATATTCATATTTTCTTAAAGTTTATTATGATACATACTTCTTCTGGTTTGACACGGGGAAGAGAAGATATTTATTTGTACAGTTATGAAAACTTTTGTATATCACAAAATTTACACTCTGGTAATACATGTATACACAGGATGTTTAATGTCACCTGGTTGCTTTTGGTTTGCACGTCTACCTGACAATATATTGTTATGTAACATTACATCCAAAGTCAGAGTTCTGTAACCAATAGGGGCGCAGTTGGGACTCTTGTCTTGGCTCCCTAAATGTTACGGGGTCATGATTTTATTTGTAAAATCATTAGAAAAACAATTAAACTATGGAGGTCACCAATATCAGGAACTAGTTGTTGCAGTTCACGAAAATCCAACACATTCAAGTTATATAA